CAGGTAAATCGCATCGGATCGGCCTGAAAACTAGTAAAAATATTCAAGATTCTGAGATCTAGCTATAGCCACTAGCAGATCTGCATTTGTAGTTGTAGTTTGAAAGTTATGTGTGTTTTCCGGAAGCATATCTGCACAGATCAGATTCGCGAGAAGCCAACTTTGGAAGCGTTTTTGCCGGTGATCCGAGAAAAAAGAGGCTCTTGAATCCATCTTTTCAGATCTACCTTTCGATCCCTTTTCTGAGGTATGATAAGAGATTTGTGTCTATTTCTTTCCGTCAAAGTTTCCATCTAATCATAGGTTAAATAAACATATATGTGGTTATGTTTAATTTTCGTATAGATCAAATGGACAGGTAGAATCGTTCTCACTGAGTAATTTGTTACTCACTTCTCTTTCTCTTTTTCAGGTGAGTTCTTCTTGTACACTCGAGTTGAAGTGCTGTTTCAGAAAAAAAAGTGTTTCATTTTATTTATATGCTGCTTTATTTTTCTAAGTTTGAATTACTGTTTTCGATTAAAACGTTCTTTTTAGTTTTTCTAGTTTTAAAAATATTTAATGAGTTTATATTTATTTGAAAAGCTGTTAGTGAGTGAAAAATAAGCTACGTTAAGTTTTGGAGATTAAGGAGTTCTTGGTTTAGCAGCTGCTCTATACTTGGAGACTGAACAAATCGATGGCAAGACGGTCCTAGTCATTTTATTGAACAAGCAAGAGTGAGTAGGTGTCTCACTTAAACTCTAAAAATCTGCATAAATCAACCTCCCAATAACCTTCCTTTAATTCTTAATGTTAACTCTTAACTATTTTAAGTTAGTTGTTAATCTAAACAAAATATATGTTACGACAGAAAAATGAATTTTACGTTTTGGTAGAAAATTAATTATTTTAGTAATCCTGGAACCCTAATCGTACAAACCCACTCAAATACGACCAAAAATTAAGTAAGCTTGCTCTTCAATCGTATCTAACAAGTAACTAAGTAACCGTTGAGATCTTGTTTCCTTTTCCTTTTTATTAACTGAGAAAATAAATTTTACTCATGAAACAGTAATAAAAAAAGGAAAAACCTTGCCCTCGTAAAAAAAAAAAAAAAAATATAAGGTCGGTTTCTCTTCTCCACTTAATTTTTCTATATATATAAACACATGAGCACACACTCATAATCACCAAACCATTCTCTCGATTTATTACACGAAAGAAACTCTAACCTCTTTCTCTTTCCAAAGTCTTTTGTTTAAGAAAAAAAAAACATAACCGGCTCTTATCTGTATCTTTTTCATCAATCATGACAAAGGCTTCTAAAAGAATTTGCGTCATCATCATCTTCTGCCTCTTGATCACGTTATTGTCTTATGTGGCACGTACTTGTTACGAGACACATCAAGACCTTGTAAATCGTCGTTACATTGAATCTGAATTGCAAAAGATTAGCCGCAGTATCGAGAGAAGATATGGTGATCGCCAATGAAGCCAAGATCAGTGATCTTTTCAGATTTTAATTATTTTTTAGAAACATGATAAGATGTTATATACAATTCCCTTTTCAATATAAAACAGAAGTTGTTTGTCTTTACTAGATGATTATTTCTATGACCTATTTTCGTCTATAATTTTACATAAGCGTTTTATACATATATGGAATTAATGTCTTTATTTTATTTTTATACAATAAATTAAATCTTTTTCAATTGTTTCAATATATTCACGAGCTAGATATTGCTCAGCATGTTTCTTCTCCCCTTCCTAGCAATCACTTGAATTTAATGGTGATTAAGAGTATGTATTGTCACCGAAACAAAGAAAAACTCCACTACAAGAAATATGCACATTCTTAACTCACGTATAACGCTACTAAACGTGTAAAATAGCGTTACTCTAAACGCTATTACTGGAGAAGCTATAATAGATCGGCAGTCTACAATAGCGCTTTTTTGTATGCTATTATATGTTTTTTTTAAGATATTGTTGTGTGAAAGCTAGGACTTAATATTATGTAATGTTTTTATATATATGCTAATTTATTAAGTTCAATAGCGAATATAGGTTGATATCTATATTATTATTTGCAAAAGCAAAAATCATCCTTGATTATTATTTGCAAAAGCAAAAATCATCCTTGACCCAAAAAAAAAATAAAATCATATGTGTCGTCTCTACAACGATTCGCCTATGTGTCAGTTTTGATAGGTCGATCATTAATACTACGTGTAAATACCTGTGATATAGTATTTTTCCTCGATTATAGGCCAGTAAAAAAGCTTTTTTATATGTTAATTTGTGCTTACATGTCTCCTCTGACGGGTTTTTTAATATTTTTATAGGTTTTTATTAATCGTATGTGTCTTTTATAAATGTTGTGTCATAGCCCGTTTAATTGAATCATTATTGGAACCTGTTTGTTTAAAATTGGTTTTTTGGCTAAAGTCTGTGTTGTTAAATCAAGTCTAATGCCGTTTTAGGTTTTCAGAAAGAAAAAAAACAGTAGCTGCAGGTTTAATAAAAAAAAAAAACCAAACCACTAGCTTAACCTATATATATCTCACATAAATTGATCACATCCTCCTACTCTTAATTTTGTGTTTTCGCATTAGGTTTATAGTCATTGTTTCTTTTAAGCTTTGATTTTTTGTAGGTAACTACCTTCCGTGTTCATCGTTTCGGTTATGGGTTTCTCAAAACTTATACTGTTATTTTTTGTTTTTGTTGTAGTCCGCTGCTAATTGATTAGTTTTCCATATGTCTCTTTATGACTTATTTTCCAATTTATGTTCCCTTACTAATACATCAAGATTTTTTTTTGGGTTTTGTTTTGTAGGTTGCTTTCTCTCTTTTGGGTATTTTTGTCAGGTTTAAACGTCAGTTCTCCTCTGTCGAGGTTTGACTGTTTTGTTTTATCGTCGTTTCTCCATACCCTAGAGTTGGAATATGCATCATTACAATTTGGGATCAGCTGACTCCTATACCAGCAGTTTTCTCCACGATCTCATCTGTTTTGATGGTCCACTGAGAGATATCAACCGCATCGGAGGTGCCCTTAGTGGTGACAGACAACGACTCTGATTCCTCTTCTGTGGCATGTAATTTTTTTTTCCCAAACTGGTCTCCATTTTTAGGGTTAATGTAGACTCTGATTTGTTAGATATCAATTAGCTCAGGTTTGTCTCTAAGAAATATTGAAGTTGTGGGTTTCACATGTTTAGGTTAATATGATTCAGCTTTGTCTTCTTTCAAGACTGTATACACGAATCATACAGCAACTCGATGCAAATCCACAATGACGAGTTGAAGAAGGTGGATCTAACATGTAGAAAAAGGGATCTGTTTATACTATATGTGTGAGCCAAAACTCGCACAACCAAGAATTTGTAAAGAGAAACTAAGGGATCTGAAACTTCTAGGGTAATCGCGAGAACAGTAAGATCAAAAGAGGATTTTTATTGCTGTGAAAGTGTCTAGGCCTTATTGCTTAGGGTTGCCAAAAGTTGGCGGAATGAATTGCATATATCACATATTTATACTGACTTTCTAAACCACCTAGCCGAAAATCTCGGGCGAGATTTTCGGAATATTTCCTTATCGCCTCGTGCGGCTGACCGCCTTTGTATCTCGCCTAGGGTTTTCCATGGGCTTCACCTCTCGAGGCTTCGTTTCGGCCCATCCATGCTTCTTTACGGTTCGGCCCATATTGTCTTTGTTACGGCTCGGCCCACCTAACCTCTCCACGGTTCGGCCTGCTTGATATGATTCGCTCCACCTCACCGCGGCTCGGCCCAGGTATGTAAAACAGGGGCTCGGTCCATTTTCCGTAATACGGCTCGGCCCATCTCTCCTTCTTCTCAGCTCTCCCACTTGGTGATCGCGGCTCTCCCGCTTGTCTTGGTGGAAACGGCTCTCCTTTTTTCCTTGGTGAGAACGGCTCTCCCATTTGATGGCCATAGCTCTCCCACTTTCTATACTTAGTTATTTCGGGATGGTTTTATCTGTGCGGGGTGGAAACCGACCCCAACAGTCAGCCCCCCAGCTCGTCAATCTCGGAGTCGAGAATGACGAGGTACCTTACTCCTGACCACAAGATAAACCATCGAGCCGAGCTGTTACGGCGTAAGCCCGGATAAGGCGTTTTGGGAATGCAAATGCCGAGGTGTTTCCAAGGAGTGCCGAGGATGCCGAGGCGAATCAGAGACGAAGCGATTTTTTTTTAGCAACGATGAGCCGTGGCGAAGCGATCTGATGGTGGTTATGCCGAGCCGAATAAACGGCTAGGCGTTTCGAGAGAAAGTTCGTGCCGAGCCGTGTCGTTAACGACGAGGCGTTTCAAGAGCAAGAGTTAATGCCGAGCCGTTTCGTTTAACGACGAGGCGTTTCGAGAGATAGATAATGCCGAGCCGTTTCGTTTAACGACGAGGCGTTTCGAGAGAGATAGATAATGCCGAGCCGTTTCGTTTAACGACGAGGCGTTTCGAGAGATAGATAATGCCGAGCCGTTTCGTTTAACGACGAGGCGTTTCGAGAGATAGATAATGCCGAGCCGTTTCGTTTAACGACGAGGCATTTCGAGAGATAGATAATGCCGAGCCGTTTTGTTTAACGACGAGGCGTTTCGAGAGAGAAAGAGTCAATACCAAGCCTTTTCGTTAATCTGGGTACCCTGACTGTTGGTCTTCCGAGAGGAAATTCCTGATCTTTCGGCGCGTGCCAACGACGCAGCCCGGTATAACCAATTCACCGCGGATCCCACGCGCTGTTGGGCGGCTTCCCGAGGTTCACGCGGAATTCACGCGCTTCGTTTTTCTATAAATAGGTGAGCTCCTTCACTCTTCTTCATTATTTCCCGACTCACTCGTTTTCACTAAAGGTAGCTCTCTCTTCTCTCTTCTTTCTCTCTCTAGTTTATTTATTTTCCAGCTAGGGTTTCCGAGGTCTCCGCCGTTCCAGATCTTTTTCCGGCAGAGGCTCGCCGAGTCGCGCTGTAATTCTTGTAAAAGTCGTGAATTATGTCGAGCCGTTCCGACGATTCGTTGGATTTGCTTTTTCACTACGAGCCGAGACGTATAGACGCCGAGGCGAGAGGCACGGTGGAATCCTCCGAGGCGTCTGCTTCGCCGAGCCCCTCCAATCATTCATCTGACGAAGCGTCAAACCACGAAAACCCATCAGATGTCGGCTCTCCGGATGGCGAGCCGTCGGTTTCGACGAGCCGTCCCCAGGATCCCGTTCCTAACGATGTCATTAACCGCGCTGCGCTCAAGGCCGTGGAGGAGGCATTTCCCTTTGACCTTTTTGAGGCGAAGCTTGAATTGGAACGCCTCATGGCGTCCCGGGGCGCTTCCACATCTGGGCGAGGGCCGAGAGTTAAGAGACAAAAACCTGATCCGCCCGGATCTACACTCTGCTCCCTTGAGTCGCTCGAGGCGTTGAGGCATCGCTTCGGAATATCCAAGGCGGTGGAGTTCGTTGTTCCAGAGAAGAGCGACCGAGCCGACAACCCTCCAGAGAATCATTTCACTCTGTACGAGGCGTTCTTCGAGCTTTGCTTCCTCTGGTTCCCGATCCCCGGAGTGATCCTCGAATACATTTGGAAACACGGGATCTCGATTGGGCAGATTATGCTGAGGGGATTACGGCATATGATCGGCATTTTAGTACGAAGCTTCGAATGCGGTCTCGACATCGAGCTGAATCACCTGCTGAACTTGCTGGAAATCAGGACAGCTCCAAAAGGAAATAGGTTCTATATTTCCAACAAGACGAAGCGACGGATCATTGGCGGTTTCCCCAGCAAGGATCAGTTTTGGACTGAACGCTTCTTCTACGTCTTGGTGAACGAGGCGTCGGTCGGCGAAGATTACATTCACCGAATCAAGACAGTTTGGGGACCACTTGGTAGCCGACCCGAAGCTTTGCCTCGGCTCGGTGATTCAGTTGATATTCTCTTCCTTTTCTGAGACTTTTGCTTTTTGCTTTGTTTTGCAGTTCGGTGCTATCTTCCCCCGATTCCCGACGACCTTTTTACTGTTCGAGATTCTCTTTCGGCGCGGAATGTTAATTGGAGAAAGAACTTCTCCCTTGAAAGAGTAGAGAAAGCGCGGGCCATCCTTGCCGGAGTCCCTGTTAGCTCTTCATCCTCCAGTTCTTCAAGGGATACTCGAGAGAAGATGGTGATAATCGCTCTTAGGGAGAGGAAGAGGCGTGAGGCGGAAGAGGCCGCGAGACGAACTGCCGAGGCGGCTCAGGCGCAGACCGAGGCGGTCCCAGCGCATACCGAGGCCATTCCTCAATCCGACCCGCCGAGCCGGGAAGGAGATGAAACGACCCGAGCCGCAGAAGACTGCACAGCCGAAGTGGTCGAGAGAAATGCGGCGCCCGAGGTGGAACCGGGTGAAATTGTGCCCGAGGCGTCCGGGGGCGATTCGGCGGTTCGGAGCAAAGTGCCTTCGAACTCTGCTATTTTAGCCCTCCCGAAGTCGACAAGGCTCCGACTTCCGTCGTTCAGAAACATGACCCGAGCCGAAAACGTTCGGCTGTTGATAAAGGGAAAGGGGTCGCTGTTCAGAGGGACGAGCCGTCCAAGAAGAGGCGGAAGCCGACGCCCGGGGACTCCGCCGCGCGCAAGTTGGTCGTTGACGACCCTGACGCCTCCGCCATCATGTTCTCGCGTGTAAATAACGCGAACACGCGTCTTCCTCCTCCAGAGAAGTTGAGGAGGCCGAGGTCTTACGGCGCAATGGCGCAGCGCGGGACCAAGGTACGCTCCATTTTGCTTTCCTTTGTTTTGTGAATTTTTGCTAAGTGTTTAACACGAGTTTGTTCTCTGCAGTTTGTCGCGGCCATTAACGACCTAATGGCCGAGTATGAAGCGGACCTGTCTAAGGTCGAACATCGTTTGGCCGAGGCCAAAACTGAGTCCGCAGCGTCAAAGACGAAGCTAGAAGAGGCTCAGACCGAAACCGCGGCGGCAAAGGGGAAACTGGACGAGACGATGACCAGGGTGTCCAGGCTGGAAGAGGAGAAGATCGTTCTGCGCGCCAACGTTGATAAGGTCTCCGCCTCGGTCATTCGCCTCGAGGAGGCGAGGAGAGCCAAAAGCGCCGAGGTGGCGATGCTGAAGAGGCGTATCAAAGCCAAGGACGCCTTATTCGACGCCAAGGTCAAGAGGGCGAAAAAGGAGGCGAGGCGAGAGCTTACGGCGAAGTTTCAGGAGCGCCTCGCCAAGGTGGAAGAGGGTTTGGTCAGGCTTGAGAAAGCCAAAAATGATGAGAACGATCTGGGACAGATCAAGGGCAATCTTGCGATGATTGCCGACCTGAAGAAGCCGAACGCCCCGACGCTTGACGACGAGGAGGTGAAGCTGAAAAGCTGGGAAAGCGAGTATGCCAATGACGAGGCGTACGAGCGTATTGCTTCCGAGATTCGGGGCGAGCTGTATTTCTCTCTCGTATCGCCGGATTTGGTCGACACCTCCCTCGGAAACGAGCCGCTCGAAGAGACAGCGGCCAACTTAGGCGTGGAAGATCCGAACGGATCAAATGCGGGCACGCCATTCCTCTCGAACCTCCTCGCCGATCATGAGACGCAGTCTGCGGCCTGATACCCTCTGCTTTTCCCTGTTTCGTCTTTCATGCTTTTGTACTTAGGTTTTTTGTACGTTTTTGAACTCTTTTTGTAACCGATGCCTGGACGGCTTTATCCACCCGACATTCATTTTTGCTTATGGATATATTTTCTCCTTTAGCTAATTTTCGTTTGGATGCACTTATTTTCAATGACTTGTGCAAACATCTGTGAAAACCGCTGGCTTAGGGAAAGTTGTCGAGGATGATTTTGATTGCTTCCTTAACCGAATTTTTCGAAATCGATAGAAAGATGGGCTAAGGGTTGAGTTATTTAAGGGTCTCGTTTGTATTCTTAATCCCGAGCTGGGAGTTAGTTTTGTGGAACATCCTTCAGGTGCTGCTGGAAAGATTTTAAGTGATAATATCACAGCGAATTTTCGTAGCAACACCGAGCCGTTTTTAACGACGAGGCGTTTTACTCTTTGCATGGTGCCGAGCCATGTAAACGACAAGGCGGTTTCTCTTTTCGTGATGCCGAGCCGTGTAAACGACGAGGCGTTTTTTCTTTGCGTGATGCCGAGCCGTGTAAACGACGAGGCGTTTTTGCTTTTGTTAGCCAAGGACGATGTGTTATCGATCCTGACTATAATGGACAGGTGTTTCCGAGAGGATGAGTATGCTTATCCGGGTTTTGAGGGTTTACTTCGGTTTTAGAGAAAGCGATGTAGTCTCGACTTATATTCTCGTGTGCGATAGTAAACCGTGGCGACCTGATACGTTTTTGGTCTGATATTTGTATAGCGCCCTTAATTTTTATCCGTAGAGGATGTAACTTGCACCCTCGTCCTAGGAAAGGTGGTAAAAGTCCGTTTAGAGAACTTTGTATTTGTTGCCCCGTTGTGGCCAGCAACAAGACGAGGCGTTCGTAGGCTTAGTTTGCCGAACTGAAACTGAGGACCGATTAAGGTCCGAGGTAACCAGGTCATGATATCATGCCGAAGTGGTATTTAGTCGCCGAAGTGATGGGTGAAAGAATTTAAAAATCTGAACTTGTTAAAATAAGTTGCTAATTAAAAAAGAATGAGAAACTATCCGAAGCGATAATGAACGAACTAGAAATCAGAGGTAGACGTGAAATGAGTAGATGACTAAAAACAAACTGAGAATGTGCCGAAATGGCGATGTTCCTAAGCGAGCAACTTAAAATTGTAGAGTTAAAGGAGGTATGTGTATACGTACCCACTCCCCCCCCCTTTTTAGGAGGGGGGACAGCTGAACCCGTCCGAAGACGGGCTGCCTACGTACCCTTTGCAGGGACCAAGCCGTCCCGTAGTTCATGCTGGTCATGATGTATCCTTAGTGATAGTGTTTCTTCAGATGCATTGCGTTCCATGATCTTGGGATCGCCTCGTCTGCTAATGTCGCGAGTTCGTAGACTCCTGGACGAACCACTTTTGTGATCTTGTAAGGACCTTCCCAATTTGCTCCGAGCTTTCCTGCGTTCTTCTCGGCAGTGTTTTGGAAGACCTTTCGTAGGACTAGCTCCCCTACTTTGAATCTTCGGCTACGAACGTTTTTGTTGTAGTATCGCGTTGTTGCTTGCTGATAGTTCTGGATTCGAATTAAGGTTTGGTCGCGCTTTTCGTTGATTAGGTCGAGCTCATCTAGCATCATTAAGTGGTTTAAGCTCTCCTGTCCTGGCAGAAGTCTTCGTCGAATACCTGGGAAATCCACCTCGGGGGGAATTACGCACTCCGATCCGTAGACCAAAGCGAATGGAGTTTCCCCGGTGGCTCGGCGCGGAGTTGTCCGATGAGACCAAAGGACTCCTTCGAGTTCGTCTGCCCATCGTCCCTTCTTGGCGTCGAGCCTCTTTTTCAGACCGTCGAGGATCGTCTTGTTGGCTGCTTCGGCTTGTCCGTTCCCTTGAGGGTATCTTGGCGTAGATTTGCTGAGGCGGATTTTCCACTTCTCGCAGAAGGCTTCGAAACGTGTTGAGATGAACTGGGATCCGTTGTCCGTGACTATTTCGTAGGGGACCCAGTGTCGGCAGATTATATTTTTCCAGACGAAGCGTTCGACCTGAACATCTTTTATGCTTGCGTAAGAATCGGCTTCGACCCACTTGGAGAAGTAATCCGTGAGGACGAGCAGAAAACGCTTCTGCTTCGAGCGATGTAGAGGTCCGACGATGTCCATCGACCATCTCATGAACGGATAAGGCGACGAAATCGATGAGAGCAGCTCGGTAGGTTGATAAATCGTCGGGGCGTGCCGCTGACACTTCTCGCACTTAGCCGTAAATTTCTCGCAGTCCTTGATCATCGTGGGCCAGAAGTAGGCGTGCCATTTTATCTTGATAGCGAGAGACCTTCCGCTGGAGTGGTTCCCGCATGCGCCGCTGTGCACCTCGTGCATGATCTTTCTTGCCTCTGGTCCTTCGACGCATGTCATGAGAGGCCCTGAGAATCTCCATTTAAACACTTCGCCATCGACGAGGACGTAACGTGCGGCCTGAGCTTTTAGTTTTCGGGCTTCCCATTTATCAGTTGGCACCTCTCCATCGGCGATGTACATTCGGATAGCTCCGAGCCATTTTTTGTCGCAGTCGTATTCCGGCTCGGCCGGTGAAGTGTCTTCGTCCATAGGAATGGCTTCGTCGTCCTCTGGTTCTTGTTCGGGAGGATTTATCAGCCGAACTCCTTCCACCTCTTCGATGCTAGGGCGTTTGATGAATTCAACTGGGATCGATCGTCGGAGGTCTGGGTCCGAGGTCGAAGCGAGTGCTGCCAAGGCATCAGCCGAGGTGTTTTCTCCTCGGGGAATGCGCGTGAGTTCGAATTCATCGAACTTTTGCACCAACTCTCGGACCACATTGAGGTAAGCTCCCATACGTCCATCCTTCGCCTCGTATTCTCCGTTGAACTGACATGCTACGAGCTGTGAATCGCAAAAGGTTCTTATCTTTTGAACTCCGATTCCCTGTGCTAGCCGTATGCCGGCGATCAGTGCTTCGTATTCCGCTTCGTTGTTCGAGGCGTGGAAGTTCAGGCGAAAAGACTGCTCCAATATTTCTCCGGTGGGAGAGGTGAGGTGGATTCCTATTCCCGAGCCATGTTTAGACGACGAGCCGTCGACGTGCAGCGCCCACACTTCATCTAGAGTCGGCTCGTTTATTGCTTCGGCAGGAAGTTCAATGAGGAAATCTGCGAGCACCTGTGATTTTGCAGACGACCTGTTCCGTTACTCGATGTCGTATTCGCTTAGTTCTATCGCCCACTTGGCGAGCCGACCGGATTGGCTAGGGCTGTGTAGGATCGAGCGTAGAGGAAGCGTAGCGAGCACAACAATCGAATGTGATTGAAAGTACGGGCGCAGTTTGCGAGCCGAGACTACGACGGCTAGGGCGACCTTCTCGATCTAGGGGTAGCGAGTTTCGGCGTCGGTCAATGTCTGGCCGACGTAGAAAATGGGCTTTTGCTCGGATCGCTCTTCTCTGATGAGCACTCCGCTTACAGCTGTGGGGGATACTACGCTGTAGAGGAAGAGCGGCTCTCCTTCGACGGGTTTTGCTAAGATTGGTGGGCTTGCCAGATAATTTTTCAACTCCTGGAAAGCTGCTTCGCATCGCTCGTCCCATTCAAATTTCTTGTTTCCTCGGAGGGTGTCGTAGAAGGGCAGGCACTTGTCCGTGGAGCGGGAAATGAACCTGTTTAGCACGGCGACTCTCTGTGAGCCTTTGCACTTTGCGCTTTGTCTTTGGAGAGGGCATCTCAATCAATGCCTTGATCTGCTTAGGGTTTGCTTCTATGCCTTGGTGAGTTACCAAATAGCCGAGGAATTCTCCTGAAGTGACAGCGAATCTGCACTTCGCCGGGTTTAATTTCATGTTGTGCTTGTTCAGTTGCTCGAAGCATTCCCGTAGATGAGCGACGTGGTCTTCCTCCTTGAGTGATTTGACTAACATGTCGTCGATGTATACCTCCATGGTTTTTCCGAGCTGAGCCGCGAACATTTTGTTGACGAGCCGTTGATACGTTGCTCCAGCGTTCTTGAGCCCGAACGGCATGACTTTGTAGCAATATATCCCGCGATCAGTTATGAAATGCCCTTTTTTCCCGATCATCAGGATGCATCAGGATCTGATTGTAGCCGGAGAACGCGTCCATAAATGTTAACAGTCTATTCCCTGCAGTGGCTTCGACGAGCCGGTCGATGTGTGGCAGGGGAAAGCTGTCTTTTGGGCACGCCTTGTTGAGGTCGGTGAAATCCACACAGACCCGCCACTTGCCGTTCTTCTTCTTTACAACCACCGGATTTGCAAGCCAGTCCGGATATTTGGCCTCGGCGATTGATCCTACCTTGAGTAATCTCTCGACTTCGTCGTTGACTGCTTTGGCTCGTTCTGGACCAAGCTTTCTTCTTTTCTGCTTGACTGGTTTAAAGCTCGGATCTACATTCAGCTCATGACAGGTTACATCGATGTTGATACCTGGCATATCTTCCGCCGTCCAGGCAAAGGTATCGATGTTTTCCTTGAGGAGGGAAAGGAGCTTGCTTCTCAGGGGCTTTCCTAGTTGTGTTCCAATTTTGACGCACCGTTCCGGGTGCGCCTCGTCTATACACTCCGAGTCCACTGCGTCACATATCGGCTCGGTGCGTGTTTCGCGGCTCTCCGCGATCTGTAATTGCTATAAGAGTTTGGAGAGCTCGTTCGCGGGCTCTCTGTCTGTCTTCATTTTTTTGCGGTCTATGTTAGCTCGTGCGTCGGTGACGGGGTTCCTCAGTTTGTGCTCGGCTAGGCAGCACATTCGCGACTCCTTCTGATTCCCCCAGATCGTTTTGACGCCCGATGGAGTTGGGAATTTGAGGCAGAGATGGTAAGTGGAGGGTACTGCCCGCATCCCGTTGATCCAGGGAGTTCCCATGATCACATTGTAGATTGCTGGGTGATCCATGACGCAGAATTCGACGATCTTAGTGACTCCGCTAGCTACCACGGGAAGTCTGAGCGTTCCCATAGGCATCGTCGTTTCTCCTGAAAATCCGGTTAGAGGTTTAGGGATTGCTTCCACCTCGGAGAGGTCGATTCCCATTCTTTTGAGTGTTTCCCTGAAGATGACATTCACCGAGCTTCGAGTATCGATGAGCACCCTTTCCACATCATGATCCCTGATTGTTAGCTCAATCACCAACGGATCGTTGTGAGGTCGATCGATTCCTGACGTTTCCTCCTCGGCGAAAGAGATCACTGTGTTTGGGATGTTGGTTGGCTCTGTCCAATTCTCCTTCGCTTCGGCTCGACGCTGATAGGCTTTGATGGAGGACACGGTATCTTGGTAGTATTGAGATCCACCCATAATCATATTGATCATTTGCCTCGGCTCGGGTCGCTCTTCAGGTTCGCCTCTCCTGTCGCGTTTGGGATTATCGCCTCGTCGGGGAGGATTCGCTGGTTCCGCCGCGCCGTTAGGAACGAGGTCTTTGAGGCTGACCGCGTTTTGGAGCTCTCCTGCTGCCATTTTTGCTGCGAGCTTTGCTCCTAGAGTTCGGCATTGAGCCGTTGAGTGTCCATAGGTCTGATGATACTCGCAGAAAGCTTTCTCGTCGTAGTTGGCGGACTTTCTCACCCAAGTGTTGTTGCGCAGCTCTCCTCTTCTGCGTCCGGAGCTGACCTGGTAGTTATGGGCACCTCCGCTCCTAGGTTCATCTGGACTCTGCGTTGTTGCATTGCTCGATGAATTGCCCTTCTTCGCGGGGCGCAGCAAAATTGAGCTTCGGATCGCTGCTTTCGTGGCTTCGTACTGCTCATCCAAGTTTTTCATTTCCTCCTCGTTTACGACGAAGTCTGACGATCGGTGCAATGCGTCTTGAATTGTTTGCGGCGTATTGAGAGCCATCTCCTGGCAGAACTCGGATTTGTACCACAAAGATCGGTTCAGAGCCTCGAGCGCAGCCTTGTCGCTTATCCCTTCTATTTTGGACACGACTGCCTTGAATCGTGTCATATTTTGGACACGACTGCGGTTCGTTCGGTCCTTGGGATAGTGTACACAGATCGGCATCAGATGTTCCTCTGTCCATAAACATCGAGTATTGTTTAAGGAACAAAGCGGAGAGCTGTTGAAAAACTGCCGATAGAATTGCGCTCCTGCCTCAAAAACCATTCGAGCGCGGCTCCCTTGAGATGCTCCACGAAGAGCAGGCAGTATCCGGCATCTACTTCGCGTTCGGTGAGTTTAGCGGCGTTCTTTGTGAAGGCTTGTCCCATCGCTATTCGAAACGCGGTGATGTGTGCTTTCGGGTCGGTTGTTCCTTCGTAGAACGGGATTCTCACCTTCCCCGGCTCGGGAACCCTGGCCTCCGTGATTCTTGCAGTGAACGGGGTTCTTTGAGTTTCTTCGAGCATTCGGTCGATTTCGGGCGCGGCACTTGTCGCGTTGTGCACTTGAGATTTCATAGCGCGTATTTCAGCCACTGTCCGAGCCATAGAGGCTCGCAGCTCTTTGAGCTCGAGAGTTTGTGCGTGAGTCATTCCCTTTGATTGGGGGGGGTCGCTCCCGCTCGTCTCGCCTCGGCTCGTCTTCGCGTTCTGCCTGCTCGATCCATTGGAGATTTTCTTCCATCTCGGTTGGGTTATCGCCGCGGGTTGGATCGGAGACTTCGTCAGTCCGGATGCCGTTCAGTGCCGAGGCGAGTTCTTCTTGACTAATTCGGCGAGCCGAACCAGTTTGTTGCGGATTCGTGGTCTCTTCGTTCTCCTGGGCGTCTACGTCGAGCGCATCGCCCCCTTCCTCGCCGGCTCGTTGCCTGGAGTTCCGGCGCAGTGGAGGCGGCTCGGTCATGTTGATTCGGGTTGCTGCGGGAGTTCGTTCGTCAAGGGGACGAAGAAACGAGGAATTTCTTGCGCCACTCCCCGAGGCTTCCGCGGGTGTCGAGAAATCGAAGCGTCTCCGAATTCCATCCATCGGGTCGGGAATTCCGGCTCTCCAAGTCGAGTGTTGTCCCTCAGCCGCCATCGCGTCGAGCCTCGCCGTAATCGCCTCGTTTCTTTTTTCTTGGTCATCAATTTTCTTCATCAACGCGGCTATCATGTATCGCATCTCCTCGTGGGTTTCGGTCGTCGCCGTCGTTGTGCCTGATGCTGGAGCGTCCTTCTCCGCGCCGTTACCGGTGTTGTTGTTGTTGTCGTCGGGGGTGTTGCTCGCCATGTTCTTCGGATCTTAAAGTCTCGTCGATTTAGAGTAAGAAAGTTTCGTTCCCCACAGACGGCGCCAAATTGTGTGAGCCAAAACTCGCACAACCAAGAATTTGTGAAGAGAAACTAAGGGATCTGAAACTTCTAGGGTAATCGCGAGAACAGTAAGATCAAAAGAAGATTTTTATTGCTGTGAAAGTGTCTAGGCCTTATTGCTTAGGGTTGCCAAAAGTTGGCGGAATGAATTGCATATATCACATATTTATACTGACTTTCTAAACCGTCTAGCCGAAAATCTCGGGCGAGATTTTCGGAATATTTCCTTATCACCTCGTGCGGCTGACCGCCTTTGTATCTCGCCTAGGGTTTTCCATGGGCTTCACCTCTCGAGGCTTCGGTTCGGCCCATCCATGCTTCTTTGCGGTTCGGCCCATATTGTCTTTGTTACGGCTCGGCCCACCTAACCTCTCCACGGCTCGGCCTGCTTGATATGATTCGCTCCACCTCACCGCGGCTCGGCCCAGGTATGTAAAACAGGGGCTCGGTCCATTTTCCGTAATACGGCTCGGTCCATCTCTCCTTCTTCTCGGCTCTCCCACTTGGTGATCGCGGCTCTCCCGCTTGTCTTGGTGGAAACGGCTCTTCTTCTTGCCTTGGTGAGAATGGCTCTCCCATTTGATGGCCACAGCTCTCCCACTTTCTATACTTAGTTATTTCAGGATGGTTTTATCTGTGCAGGGTGGAAACCGACCCCAACACTATATATGTTTATAAAAATTGAAGGTAATAAGGATCATGTTGGAATTTGATTGACTTTCACACTCTGTGGATTTACTATAGTTTTTCTATTGTTAATTTTGTTAAGATGTTTCCCGATTGAATCAGCACGAGTTATATTTCTGCAAATCATATTGGATTATTTTATTAGCCAAACATGTGACTACGTTTGTAAAAAACAAGGGAGCAAACATTGTCTATTGCACTAGCTAATTCATCATCATCATCCTCCGTTTTTTAATCCGATCCCTCTTTTTAAAACTCTTTAAAAACACTACGAGTACTGAAATTGATCATTTTCTTCAGTCATTTCCAAAAAGATTTGTTTATTTATTTTATTTTGTTCGTGTAGGTGGGTCTAGCTCTTAGATATTTGTCAGGTGCATACATCTCTATCGAGGTATCGGTTTCTTGTTTATCACGTTTGCAAGTTTGCATGTTTTGCGTTTGCGTTGTTCTGTTATTGACTCCTGGCGTTTTGTTTTTTCGTTCGTCATCTCTATCTTTCTCTTCTTTCTCTGTGGTGATTTATTCTCTATAAAGATTGATATTTTTGATCTTTAACTTTTTTTGCTTTTATTCGTGGTCTTACCTTGGTTTGATGTTTGTAACTGTTTAGGTGTTGCTTGTCACTGTATTCTGCAATGGTGTCAAATGGTAGAGATTTTATTTATATATTTACTTCTGTATCGTCCTTGTGGTTTCTTTTTGTCGTAATCGTATTGGTTACCTTGTTAGAAGGTTATTTGTGTATAACCTGTATGATACACAGAACAGGTGGGGGAGACTTTTCTTGGGTTCGGTTATGTTTTTTTCAGATTGAAACAGAAGATGGAGCAGCAGCACGAGATCAATATGAAGCGCATATGCTACTTGCTCGAGAAAGGGGTCTTTCAAGGATGGTTGATGGAGACAGGTTCTGAGGCTGAGCTCAAGTAGTTTGCTATGTACGAAGTTTGCAGATTTATGATTACTTTATCTCTGCCAAACTCGGTGTTCATTTCTTGTTGTTCTATGTTCAACGAACTACATGTTTGTGCCTAACTCACATCAAAGCAAAATTCCTCTTGAATTTCTCATTTTGGAGATGTGCAATTCGGTCTTAAGAGGGATATTGTCCATATTGGTATTGAAAACAATGAAATTAATATTTGAGAATTGTGATATTGCACTACAAGAAAATATACCTTATTCCTACAAAAAATTTTACGAAAAATTTGGTAGGACAATTTTTAACCATATTCCTACGCAAATATGATGAAAAAGAAAAATTACAAAAATTGGTAAGAAATTACCTACGAAAATAAAACGTCAAACTGGTAAGTAACTTCTTTCTAATAACCTACCAAACCTAACTTCGTAGGAAATATGGTCGGATTTTAGTATCTATGTGGTAGGTTAATTAATAACCATTAAGTTTGTGAATATTTTGTCAGAATTTTACTAGGCATTTCTGATGAAATATTTTCTGTAGGATAATTCGTAGGAGATTTGAAGGAATATATCCTTGTCATATTTGCGTAGGAATATGGTCAACAAGTTTACGTTCTATTAAGTAATGGTAAATCTTATTTTTATGCAGTTATTTTTTTATTTCTCTGTAAAACACAATAACACTATTTTCTTCATGAAAATTAATTTACTTACTCATTTCCTACCATAATCCTATCAAATTCATTAAACCAAAATTAATATTATTTTCGAAATTATATAAATATATTAAAATATATATCATACCGAATACCTACGATTTTCCTACCAAAATCCCAAACTTTAATATTATAACGCGAGAATCGTTAAGTGTAGTGTCTAGTTATTTTGTCGACTACACAGCTGCTAGGTCTAGAGCTTCTTCCTTTTTAAATTTCTTTGCAAATCCTTCTCTTCTAGCTCGTTTCTCCTAATTTCTTGTCTGTTTCTTTATGGCTTCACACTGAAAACCGCGCATGCTTCAAAATCAAAACGGAATCCACCATTTTGGAGTTTGCCTCAAACCTAGGAGGTACACATTGGGTTACTCCCACTCTTTGATGTTTCTAAGTTCTCTGATGTATTCATTTTTTAGCTAATCGATTTTTTTGTTTTGCTGAGCTCTGGAGATGGTGGCTAATCAAAAGGATGGTGGCTAATCGATTTTTTGTTTTGCTGAGCTCTGGAGATGTTGAAGGATGGCGGCGGTGGAGCAAGGAGGAAGATGGTTTGGTTTTTGTTTAGGGTTTTTTAATTGGTTTGGTTTAAGTTTTTTTTGGTTCAATATTTTTGTAAATCAGTTCTTATTCCCAGTTTAAAATTTTTAATATAATATTATTTTTAAAACAAAATTAGCTTTTATAATTAATATTAATTAGTTAATATCAAAATAATTTTTAAAATTAATTTAACTAATATTTTATTACTAAATGGTGAAAATAATTCGTAGAAACTAGGAAAATAAAATATCGTAGAAAAATTCATCGCAGGATATTGATAGGATTTTGGTCATACATTTACAACAAAATTCCTACCAAAATGTTCGTAGTAAATTTTCTACGGTTTTTTCGTAGGAAATTTCCTACCATTTATCTACCATTTAAAATTTTCGGCGGCCGATTTTCTATAACTTATTTTTCGTAGGTATTGGGTAAGAAATGACTGTTTTCTATGCTTTAATAACGATATTTACCGTAGGATTTTGGCCTGCATTCTTGTAGTGTTCATAGGTATGATTAAGTTCAGGATAGTGCTGTTAAATGCTTTGGGACAAAACGCCACCATGACAAGTGGCTGAAACACATCAAAGATAAATGTTGTCAAAGGCTGCTTTGCAATGACTGAGTTAGGCCATGGAAGTAAATTATGAATATTTCAGTGTCCTTTTGCACATATGCAGACTATATGCATTGGTGAGTTTTGCATAAATATATTATTAATAATTTCTACTTACAA